CATGGCAATAGATGTGTCTAGGCTTTTCAAGTGAATTCTCAACTGAATTAATGTAACTTGGAGTTAAAGTAGTACCTTTATTAGATTTAGCCTTTTTAGCTTTAGCTTCTCACTACAACTGGGTACATACATTGTCAACTCAGGCCTTATTAGGATGCTGTTTCTATTATTTATTATTGTGCACAATCCCACTGAATTTAACCACTGTGCTGCAGTTTGTCAGTGGGTATAAACATGGTCCCTTGAGGCAATTGTTTGGGCCTTCGCAAAAGCAGAATACACAATCATAAACAGGCAGCTCACAATATAGACAGATATGTCTGTATGGTCTGATGATAAGAAGGTCACACAACATGTATTCAACAAAGTGAGTAGTAAAGTCTGCAAAATAAAACAAAAATGCGAACCCCATCTGAAAGAACAGTTTGTGATTGTATCAGTAGAATATGTACTGTTGACATGTTTGATTACATCATGAATCTAAGTGTTTAAAGCCTTGAGTAATTGCCTCATTGGAATTTGCTTGGAAGTCTTGTGAGAAGCTGCATCACAGTGGCTAGTTCCTCAACTCTAATGAGGTTGTGCTATTCACAGTAATTATAGGTGACAGGTTCACAATTTCTCTAATAAGTCTGTTTTAAATAAATACTTAGGTGCCCATATGTACATTGAAACAGGCTTTACTTGCAGTAATCATCCCTCATGTTCAAACTGGCAATTCAAAGAACAGGATAAATGATTACAGCTAGTAAATGCTGTTTCAGTGTCCATATGTTCACTTGTTGTTTTAGGACAGACTTTGTGAACCTTTTGATAAAAACAACATTTTAATATGGGTATGTGTGTTGAGAAGCAGTGAAACTATAGTTTACTCTGTGGCAAGTAGAAGGCCATGACGATCTCAGTGATGTAACTCTTTAAGCAAAATTACTCAAACTAAGATCAATGGCAGCTTCCACAGCTGTATGTTGCTGCTTTCGCCGGTCACTGCTCGCATAAATACATGCACACACACACACACACAAGCATGCCCATGCCAAACGTGCTGGAAACATTACCATTCAAAAGCCAGTCTGCGCGCGTGTGGGAGGAACAACTGTGCACCTCCTGCGGGTTACCTTGGCGGACACTCTGCCAAAGGAAAATCCCTGCTGACGAAGAGAGATATTCAGACTCAGAAAAGAAAGGTAAAATATTTCAGACTCCTTCACTGGAGCTGTTCTGCCTATTCTGAGTCACTGATTACATATGGCTTTGGTCACAGTCGGGCAGATTTGGAACTCCCACTCTTGAAATCAAACAGCTCTGGTGCATGCAAAGGAAAATCCTTCATGGATGAAGAAAATATTTATGCTCAGACTAAGCCACATAGACCCGCTTTATATTCTATGTGGATTAATTAAGTTATCATCATGTGCACTTTGGTCTTGGGAACAGGTTCTTCAACACCCAAGGCCCAGGAAAGAGAAGTTGGCATGTTTTTGTCTAAGGTTCTTTAAGAGACTCTCATGAAACATTGAAAAACAACAATAAACGCTTTCCTTAAGGAAATTGCAAAAAAGAATGTGTAAAGGAATTTATTGCTATTTGGTGCTAAAATTTTTGCTCAAAAGAAGAGAGGGGAGAAATAAAAGTTTACTATAACCATCACTTAAAAGCTCATTTTTTGCCAGCGGTAAATGCATTAAAGGTTAAGACAGTGCAATTCCAGTTTCTGTTATTTTCAATTTGATGGACTGAATATCCACTGCAAAATATCTGTGATTTAACTCAAGAAGGCAACACTCTTCCTCAAAAGAGGAATAACATTTCATGAAAAGGCAGTGCACCGGCTTCCGACACTCAGAAACCCGGGAAGGCAATAGGAAACCCCCTCAGGATTCACATTGGATGCTTGAACTGGGAAGTTTGCATTACATTTTTTCTTCTAATGTGCTTCTCAGTGTAGTTAAGACTAGTATACCTTCAATTATTTGGTTTTTCTGTTAGCAGCACTTCATTTCAAGATGATCTCCGCAGGAGACCAAAGACTGTGTGTGCATGTGTAGGGTGTGTTGTGCATGTGTGTGTGTGTGCAAGAAAAGTCGTGTGTGTGTGTTGTGGATGTGTGTGTGTGGTGTGTGTGCTGGCAATTAAAGGGAGGGATGGATGGATGCCTTATTGAGACAGACAGAAAGGGAAGAAAAATGTGCAATTTTATACATGTTCTGTTCTACTACGATTGATTTCTATAATTTTTGGCTAGAAGACTATTGATACATAATTCCAGTATGCTTCTTATAAATGCTGCTAAAATGGTTCTGTGAGGTTTATTTCTTCATGACAGTTTTTGAAGCTGAAGGAGTTGGGGCTGCTCTCTCCTCAGTGCCATAAATGAACACTATGGTATTTCATTGATGGACCATTGGGGTAATAACTGGTGCATATTACGATCCAGTGCCCCAAAGTGTGCCCGGAATAAACGGGGCTTTGACACATTATATATTTAAACAGAAAACTTTTTATTTCCTTATCTAGATTTGCACGAACTCAAGCAGGGTAACATAAGTAAACAACTGACACTGGAATCCTAGTGCCAGTGCTGGAATGGGACACTTGTATTCGTACATTGATCCACTGTTTGTTATGAAAAATGGAAACAAATTACTAAAAAGTGCGTAATAGTTCGTTGGGATATGCCAGTTGACACTTTGGTTTAGATTCCAAAATGTTTAGTATTTATTGTTAGTACAATGGGCAAATACCCAATGACTTGTAGTGTGGTTGTTTCTGCTGTTGAAAGAATACTTCGAAAGGAATACTAAT